AGGAAGGATATTCAAAACAGAACTTACATCCTTGTAAAAATTGATGTTTGGCCAGCTGATAGACTAGCTAATCAGTGAGTGGGTGGTCCAATTACTAAAGGATGTTGCTGAGTGAGTGAGTCAGAGAGTGAGTGAAAGAAGGAAGGAGTAAGTGAATGTATAAATAAGAAATGAGCTAACAAACAAGCTGACTGATTGGCTAGTTTTCTAAACGATTGACTGACTGGTTTAGTGGTTGGTCAACTGACTGACTGGTTAGCTGGCAGGCTGATGGGTAATTTTGGGAAGCAGGGTCTGGTTTAGTAGAGCAAAGAAAGTCCAATTGAGGACATGAGACTAATGGTATGAAACAGAGATTGCTCTGTGTAAGCACCCCTAAGAAGAGTATCTTATGAGATGGACAAGTATTTATTAACTTTCTTCTTTTAGGAGTCCTCTTCCGGTTGGGTTTCCTTGCTCTCTGTTGGCCTCAGTCAAATAGGGCCTCTGTGTGCTTTGTTTGCAGCCCGTGCTTTTCTTCCTGTGGTTGTTCCTCCTACTATGGGCCTTAGCAGTCCTTTGTGTATAGAACTTGATAAAAGTTAGCTGGGTAATTCAAAAGAAGACAACACTGGGATCAATAATTCCAGGGGGTAGCTTTCCAAAACTCCCTTAGGTGGGTGAGGCAGATTGTGTTGCGTTCATAAAGCTTTTGCTGCCTGTGGCCTTCTCCCCCAGGGAGTACCCTTCCCTGCCCAGTTGATGATGGCAGCCCTGGCCTATGACTTGCTTTGCCCATAAAATGTAAATGGGAAGAGCCCTGGTTAGCACGCTCTTTTTCCTCTCTGCCATGAGATGGGCCCTGTTCCAGGTTGGCCTGCACTGACACCCAGCAACCAGAATTTAAATTAACACACAGTAGGACTGCAGCTGACCCTTGTTATAGGTAAGGGAGGCAGGAAACAAGCCTTTATTGTTTTTATGTCATTGAGATGTGGGACTTACTGGTAACTGAGGCATGACTTAGCCTTCCCTTAACTTCCTTCTCTCAAGGAGATTCCACTCTCGATTCTGCTTGATTCTGGCCAAAGGGGAAAGAACTTAAATCCCCTGTCTACCAACTGGTAGCCAAGAGGGTGACTCAGGTGTGTGTACGTGCCCCTGTGTATGGGCTTATGTGGGGGGTATGTGTGCCTATTCCCCGAGGTGGGAAGCAGGAGGAGGGGAAGGGAAGGGAAATAGAGAAGGCAATGTGGGCCTACAGAGTACCCAACAAGGTCCATCTGTTTGCAGGCAACTGATATTTTCCTACAAATGACTTTCTGTCTGTGGTTGGGAAGCTAAATAAACCATTTCTTTTCTCACTCTGGCCACTGGACCTGGAGCCAAACCACAACCTCAACAGACCCCAGGTAGTTGGGGCATAGTACCACCTGCTGGGCCTGCCAAGCCAGTGCAGCAGTTTTCAACTGCCTCCCTCAGAGGCTGGTACCATCCCAAGGGTTCCAGGAGAGCCTAGTGATCCCTCGCCTCACTTCACAGGCAGAGGATTTAAGGGCCTCAGCGAGTACTCTTCTCGTTGCAATGGCATCTGGAGCTGGATGGCACCTAACCTGGAGGGAGGGACCGGCTGTTTCTCTATTGGAGTCAATGCCTTCCCAAGGTCCCCTTGACAGTAATAGATGGCAATGGAGTTCCATGTAGATGCAGTGGTTTGAGTCAGTGCATACAGAGGGTGGGCAGTGGGAATGGACACAGTTGCATTCAGGAGAGCAATAGAAGCTCTTGCTGCGTGGCTTCCATTTACTGAACCGCTCAGACATAAAATACAAGTCTCTGCATTGTTGCCCCCATCCCTGTAGGAGGAGGAGCGCCACTCCCATTTAGCAAATGAGGAAACTGAAACCCAGAGAGGTGAAGTGCCTTGGCCAAACAAGACCTGTGGTTGGTAAGTGGTGGGGCCAGAATTCAAACCCATATCAGCTGGGTTCTAAGACAGAACTCTGTGCTGCCTCTGGCGGCCTCTACACGAACTGCATGCTCTCTGTGCTCTTCACTGCATCCTGCCAGGACGGGGCTCAGACATAAGGACAACAGAACTCGGTTCTTTCAGCAAGTCAGCAGACTGCAAGATGAGAGTTGCTGAGCAGACAAATGGTTTTAAGGGAGCAAGCCTCGACTGGAGACTGACCTCACTTCCTCAGAGCCCCAGAGTAGTCCGAACATGCAGGTCCTTCTGCAATTCAGCTATGGAGGACCCACCTGAGCCAGGTCCTGTGTCTGCTAAACAAATTGGCAGTGAGTGGGGCATAAAACAAGTGACCAGATGGTCATGTCCAGGCCAGTTGAGTGTAGCCTCTAAGGAAGCCACAGGACATTGAAATTTCCCCTGGGGATTCACAAAAAGCTTCTGGACCCCCGTAGCTAGGCCCCTGCCATCTCTTCCCTGGAAGAATCACTATTCTAGCCCGGCTTGTGTGGCTCAGTGGTTGATCATTGACCTAAGAACCAGGAGGTCATTGTTTTATTCCTGGTCAGAGCACATGCCTGGTGGCTAGCAATGGACATTATTTTGAATAAGGCATTTCTGATGTTTCTCTTGAAATTACCGTGTTTTCTTTGATTACAAAATCTGCACTTTTAAACGGCTGATAATTAATCTGCATTATCAACCGGTTAATAGTTAATCTGCATTATTAACTGGTTAGATAATAATGCAGATTTTGTAATCAAAGAAAACACAGTAATTTCAAGAGAAATATCAAAAGCGCTTTAATCAAAATAATGTCTATTGCTAGCTACACATTTCCCCCACCTTTCAGGTAATTTGTGGATACCATCCCAATAGAACTTTTCTTGTTTTGAGGCAGACCATTCAGACACCCAATTTTCCACTTCTTCGTATGTTTTAAAGTGCTGCTCAGAAAGTGCGTGTGCCATGAATTGGAACAAGTGGTCATCTGAAGGAGCAAGGTGAATATAGCGGGTGGGTTCATACTTCCCAGGCAAAATCTTTTAATGTGTCTTTAACTGGTTTTGATGTGTGTAATGGTACATCATCATTAAGCAAAATTATTTAGCTGTGTCTTCTGGCCCATTCTGGTTGTTTTATGATCAAAGTGTGGTTCAGATCGATTATTTGTTGTCAGTAGCAATCAGTATTAATGGTTTCACCTGGTTTTAGAAGTTCATAATACACCACACCTTCCTGATCCCACCAAACGCAGAGCATTGTCTTCTTTCTGAAGCGATTTGGCCTTGATCTGATGTTGATGGTTAACCTGGATCAACCTATGATTTTGTGCATTTGGGAATCTCAAAATAAATCTACTTTTCATTGCCAGTCACAGTTCGATGCAAAAAAAATACTTCCTTTTGTGCCTTTGAAGCAACATTTTACTGATTACTTTTTGGTCCTTTTGTATTTCACTCAGTTGATGTGGCACCCATTTTCCTTCCTTTAAAATGTTTTCCATTGCTTGTAAATGATTGGAAAATGTTTGCTGAGAAATGTGTAATCTTTCTGCAAGTTGTTTTTTAGTTTGATATGCATCTTTATCGATTAATGCTTGTAATTCAAATTTTTCGATTGACCTGGATGTTCTTTGTCTTTCACATAGAAATCATTGTTTTTAAAGCATTTAAACCAGCATTCACAAGTACTTTGAGATGGAGCATGTTCACCATAAGTTTCCTAAGTATTCAGCAGCACTTTTCTTCAAAATAATGAATTAAAACTTCCCGCAAATGCTCTTTCTTTGGCATGAAATTTGACATTTTTAAGCATAAAAATATCTATGATATTAACAACTTGCAAAAATTTGGCATATGAAGTTTTGAAGCTTGTTGTCAATACAACAAAATAGCATACATATCAAATTGCACATATCAACATATGTGTAACTCCATCTATTGAAAAAAATGAGCATTACTAACCAGTACACCTATTATATGTGTGTAAATATTTGCTAGTTTGTTTGTTTGTTTGTTTGTTTGTTTGTTTATAGATAACACTAGCTAAGATTATGTGTGTGTTTGGGTTCTGTGTAGGGAAGCAAGTTAGTGCTAAGATTGAAGAATATTAAAATACAGATGTTGATTTTTAGCTAGGCTTCCTCTGGTTTTTTCAAATAAGCCATACAAAATGTCTGGGACCTGGTTGTCCCCATTGCATCTGTATCTCTTTAAGGGTTTTTGCATGATTGTGACTTGTTTGAAAAAGAGATTAAAGATCACAGTGAGTCACCTCAGATTGAGTTAGGAGATGAAGGAAGCTGATAAAGAACCAGCAAGCGCCACGTTGTCTCCTGCAGGTCAGGAGACTGAACCCACAGAAAGGATCCCGCGGGAGATACAACCTCTCTGTCCAGTGCACTTTACTCTGAGCTATGATGCCTTCTAACCCATTGAAGGTGACCTTGTTCCTCAGCCCTTGGGGACCAAGCAGTTAACTTGAATAAACTTTGATCTTTTACTTGTGGGTGAATGTTTAAGCCCCTATCCTCAATTCCTTTAGGCCCATAAGCCCTTGGAGTGTGTTCTCTAATTACAATTGATTTGCTTCAGTCTTTCTCCTCTACTATATAACCTTTGGCTGGATATTCAGGTTTCAGGAGCAAAATACCACATCTGCAGGAATGTAAAATCGTCAAATAGCAAAATAATCAGACATTAGTGCCAGAGGAATTACATTTAATTGTTGGGAAAACAAGAGCAGAAGGGAACGGTGAGTGGGTAGGGTATCCAGGCAGGCTAGCCAGGTTTCCAAAAGCCGACAGGGTGATGTAGGTACAAGTCAGCAAAGACGATTCGACAGGTTAGGACCAGATCCTTGCCTGGGATGGAAATTGCCGCTGCCAATTAATTAGCGGTAGAAACTGAGGAAGCTGTCATCCTGGTGCTGCCTTTTTCGGAGCTTGGCTGCAGGTGAGTGTGGCTGACATCTGGCTATTGGAGGGAGGTGCTGGATTTCTTGCTCTCTGCTTTTCCTGGGCGTTTGGCCTCTGGTCACATGTGCAGCCTCAGTTTTTCTGGGGTGTGGTGTAGCACTGCATGGGTGCAGGATAGCACTGCTGGGGTAGGGGGCAGCACTGCATGGGTGCAGGGTAGCACTGCTGGGGTAGGGGGCAGCACTGCATGGGTGCAGGGTAGCACTGCATGGGTGCGGGGTAGCACTGCTGGGGTGCAAGGTAGCACTGCATAGGTGCGGGGTAGCACTGCTGGGGTGGGGGGCAGCACTGCATGGGTGCAGGGTAGCACTGCTGGGGTGGGGGGCAGCACTGATTCTGCTGAGACATTCTGAGCTGGACGTGCAACTGGAAGAAGAAAGACACAAAAATGAGGACCCCTAAAAGCCTCCGGGCTCAGGTAAACCCCCTGCTAAGTTCATGTCCTGCTCTGCTTTTCCTTTGCCCCCTGATCACCTTCCTAAATTAAGGTGTGCATGCGTGTGTGTGTGAATATGATTTGTAGTTAACTGTTTATAAAGCATTTCAGCTTTTTCTGAGACAAGTAATGAATAGAAGGAAGGAAAGAAGGAAGGGAGGAAGGAAGGAAAGAAGGAAGGAAGGAAGGAAAGGAGGAAGGAAAAAAGGAAGGAAGGAAAAGGAAGGAAGGAAAAAAGGAAGGAAAGAAGAAGGAAGACTATCTGATAAGGATTAGCTGGAGAAATTAAACCCAAAGGACACGGGAGTGATGCCTCGATAGTGTGGCCATCAGCAAACTCATGAGTTTTGTGTTAAAGCCATCAATCTTTCTTTGCACGAGCTCCAACTGTACAGAACATTTTATGGAGAAGCAATGCATTCAGCTACCTCAAGAACGCATCGCTTCTACAACCAGAGGACAGAAAAGGAATAGGCAACATAGAAGCCACCAATGAAACCAAATGCTCATCTGGCCATTGGGATGATATTATTCCTTGGCTTTCATGAACATCCACTCTGTCTTCCTCTTTCCACAATCCTCTGTCTATCTTATACACACACACACACACACACACACAGACACACACACACACACACACTCCAAAAGCCCCGAGTGTTTATCAGTAAAGCCAATAGATGAGATGGAATGTGGACTTCCTTGCCACAGGTCCTCATCTCTCAGGCACACAGACCCCACTTCCTTTGCCAAGAGTTACAAGCATTTCCCTGAAGCCTCTGCCCACACAAGAGAGGCAAAGTCACAGTCAATCTAAATCAAACAATTTTAGGAAACAATTTGGCCACATTCATGCTGCATCCCCATCTCACTGCCCCCTCCCTCTGTCTCCCTCTCTCTCTCTCTCTCTCTCTCTCTCTCTCTCTCTCTCTCTCTCTCTTTCTCTCTCATTCTCTCTCTCTTTTTTTTCTCTCTCTCTCTCTCCAAAATATGGTCCCAAGCAAAGAGAGACTGGGGATTGTTGTCTGTTCTTTCTCCATTCCATGACACCTGTCTCTCAGCACAGTGACCGGAGTCCATCTAGAAGCACAGGTACTGCAGCTGAATCCGACCTATGAGGATACCTGCACCCACCCTGGCATTCCCCCCATGATGCTCTGCCTGCTGGAAGCCCCTGGTTCCGTTGGCTCACACTTACCAGGCCCAAAGGAGGGATGGCTGGATGGGCTTCTAGTGGAATAATGAGCTGAGCAGGAGCCAGGGCACCCTTTATACTGGTCCCAGATTTGCTGATTTCATAGGTTGGAGGTAATAAACTCATTCCACCACTGAAGTGGGTCAAAGTCCTCCAGCCTCTCCCTGATTTACCACAGGCACTAGAAGTAAAAAAACAAAAAAACAAAAACAAAGCAAAAAATAATAATAAGTAAACAACAACAAACCCTCAGGGCCCCTATTCATAGACAAACATAGCTCAAGCCTGGCCAGAGGGTTCTGGGGGCTCAGGCACCACTGCTTCACTCATGACCTGGGCACAGGGAGGTGAGGGAGGCAGCTCAGGAACTAGGCCCCCTTTTCCTATTGTTTTGTGACCTCAGCCAAGCATCTCTGAATCTCAATTTCTCCACCTGCTGACTGGGTTTATCCTCATTACTAGGCAGAGATTCATTTCCAAGGGCAAGAAATGGGAAGTTATGTTTCTCTCTGGAATGTCCACACAGGGTATGTGGTGTAAAGGTGGGAAAATTACTTCTCATGAAGAGATGGGATTCCTGGGGGTTCTCTTGACCATTAGCCCACAGCCCATCTACTCTCAGGGCCTATCTATAGCTCTGTGCTGTCAGGAAATAAACCCTGACTGCAGGGGAGAGGGCTTTAGGCCCAAATAGGGACAAATGAAAGGCTTTTGGAGTCTCCTGCTGCGTGCATTGGCTTTTCAGGCTCCAAGACTGTAGTTTCAAAACCTCCATAGAAATTCCAGAAGATGGGCCACTCTAGGCAAAAAAAAAAACAAAAACAGGCATTCAATACACAATGTTCAAATGAAGACTGTTTTTTATGATGCTAAATCAATCACTTTCTAGAATGTTTGCGGACATGCATAAAGGTATGAAGCTAAAACGAAACCATCTATTACTTTCTCCACACTGTTTTCTAAAAAGAGCTTAAGTCATGTTACAGTGTAGGTACTGCAGTGTGCCCCTCCCTGATATTGGTGGTGACTCAGCACATCGAAATAAAGTTCAAACTCATTGCTGTGGTGTTAGAGACCATTGTGAGGGCCTGGATTCTCAGGAGAAGCCCAGTGCTCCCCACCTTGGGGCTTGCCACTCCCAGCCCCTGACTCTTTGTGCCTCAACATCAGCAGGAAGGCACAGACTATCCCATCTACAGGGTTATCTTCTGGTTCACTTCATGTCTCTAATAACAACTGAGGGCCTTTGTTTGCATTTGGCCACTTGTCCATTTCCTCTCTCTCCCATTAGAAAATAAGCTTTATAAACCAAGGGGTTGTTTTGCCTGGAGCGTGTTCCACCATGTCCCCAGAACCCATCATAACCAAGCATGGACCCAGTGCTCTACAAATGTTAAGCGAAGGAAGGAAGGAACGGACCGTAAATTTCACCACAGAGAGATAACTACTATCAAAGGAGGTAGTGTTATCTGTGTGTGCATGTGTGTAAAAAACAAAACAAAACAAAACAAAAAAATTATGATATAGTTTTTAATAATTTTATAGCTTATTTTGTGGATATTATTTATTTAAACCACTTATTTACAAGCAAATAAAAAAAACAACTGTTAGAACAATATGAAGACAAATACTCTGCTACTAGTGTGTCACAGATATGCAATGAGTACCAGGAGCAGACAAACCAAGCATGTGGTCAATGTGGGGCATCTCCTAATGTGTGGCCGTCAGGGGCACCCACATCCACTCCCGAGGCCAGCGTGGTGTTTCCACATCAATGCCCCCTTCCTTGCTCTCTGTTGGCCCCAGTCAAACAAGGCCTCTGTGTGCTGTGTTTGCATCCTACGCTTTTCTTCCTTTTTTCCCTATGGTTGTTCCTCCTACTCAGGGCCTTAGCAGTACTTTTTTGTGGCCTCCATTCCTCCGCAAGGGGGAGCACCACCTCCATTTAGCAAATGAGGAAATTGAAACCCAGAGAGGTGAAGTGCCTTGGCCAAAGTCCTGTGCAGGCAGGCAGGACAGAAGTGGCCAGCAGGGCACCCTTGTAGTGGAGCCTGTGCCCAGAATGAGTGACCCAGCTTTACTAACCCAGGGTACTGGCCCACTGGGCCCACTTTCTTTAGATTGTAATTGAGCCTTTAGCATAGTCCTGATGAAAGGCTGCTCTGGATTCATTTTAGTCCTGACACAAGGGCTTACAAAGAGGAAGTCGCAGTTAACAAGACATCTCCAAATAGAAGGTGCATCTTGAGCAGCAAGAATTGGGCTGTCCCTAACTGGTTTAGCTCAGTGGATAAAGCGTCGGCCTGCGAACTCAAGGGTCCCAGGTTCCGTTCTGGTCAAGGGCATGTACCAGTGGGAATAGTGTAGGAGGCAGCTGATCGATGTTCCTCTCATCGATGTTTCTAACTCTCTATCCTTCTCCCTTCCTCTCTGCAAAAAATCAATAAAATAAAATAAAAGAATTGGGCTGAAGGTCCATGCAGCCTGTCATGAGACTTGTTTTCCCTGGTGACCTCAAAGGACCGTCTCTAATTTCAGCTAATGGAGCTTTCTCACAGAGGCAGCTTTAATTACCACTTAGCTCCCATGTTTCCTCCCACAAAAGTCATCTGGCTTCCAGCCCTGAGACAGACAGTCCCACTTGGTTGAACTTAGAGGTAGAAGGAGCTCCTGATCAGCCCCACTGAGAGCCACGTGTGCTGCTCTTTTGGCACCTGGGTGGGTCCTGAGCATATGCCTGGCCTTCCTCACCTCTTCACAAGGTTCCAGCTGTCCAACCCTATCTCTTCACATCCCTCTTTTCACATCCCCTGTCCTGCACACAGGGATCACCAGCATCCTGGGAGAGCAAAGCCAACACTCCACTCACTACCAGTCTCTCCTAAATAGTGTCATAAAGAGCCTCTTTTGATCAAGACTGATTTTACATCTCTCTTCCCAGGGGGCCCAGTCATAATACAAGATATGATGGAAGACCAGCAGAAAACTCTATTAGGATTATGGTAGCAGGTGGCACTTTCCTGATAATTCACAAAGAGAATAGCATATATGCAAGCGCATGCGCGCGCGCACACACACACATACACACACACACACACACACACACACACCATTCTGAGCCAGTTTCAAGCAGAAGATGGAGTAAGAACATTCCATGAAGACTTGAATGAAAGGTGGCTGACTGCTGTCAATTGGTCTTAAAAACCATAAGCTAATCTCCCCACAGAGATCCTCCAGCTCCATGCACATTTGACTTGCCATTTAGTCTTTCTTTCTTCAAGGCCATGAACAGCAAGTCAAAGGGTTCCCGGCCAGTTCCTCAGGGGCCAGAGGTGGCATCTAAGCATTCCATTGGACATGGCCCAGAGTTCTCTCTCTATCAAGGACATGAGAACATCTCAGCCCTGCTTGCCCAGGAAGTTTTCAGGTTAAACTTTTGGGGGAAGATGAGCTTGCATGAAAGACAGGACTATATTGGAATTCCAGCTTGTTAGCTAGTGGCTGTGTGGTCTTGGGCAAAGTTTACGACTTCTCTGGCTCATATTATTATATGCAAAATAAGATTTTTATCTTTTATACTGGTAATAAATATTGTATAGAATAGCAATGTTAAAATCCTAGTACAGTGTAAGCAGGTTAGTGCTACAATTGAGGAATATTAAAATATAGATATTTATTTTAGCTAGGGTTGCTCTGTGCCTTTTCAAGGAAGCCATACAAAATGTTTGGTACCTGAGAGTCCCCATTCCAGCCTTACCTCTTTATGGCTTTTGCATGTCTGTGACTTGTTTGAAGAAGAGATTCAATAAAGATCACAGTGAGTCACCTCAGACTGAGTCAGGAGATGAAGGAAGCTGATAAAGAGCCAGCAAGCGCCACATTGTCTCCTAGATCACGCGGGAGGCAGAACCTCTCTGTCCAGGGCACTTTACTCGGACTTATGATGCCTTCTAACCCATTGAAGGTGACCTTGTTCCTCAGCCCTTGGGGAGCAAGCAGTCTCCAGCCAAAGGGCTGCCTGGGGAGTTGAGGACAGAGAGAATGGTTTCCTTTTGCTTTCATTGAAAAGTGAGATGGAAGCAGCCATAGTCTAATACCTAATGGCTAGGGTAAACATTCCAGAAGACAGGGGACTAAGATCAATTGAAAGGAGTCAGGAGTTGCTGTCAATAATGACTGTTCTCTGCCCTGGAGAGAACCCCCGACAACACCAGCCCTGACATGCACACAGGGACACAGGTGGCACCACTGTGAGTTGGGAGGAGTTTCAGCAGAACTAGGTGGAGGCCAAGCGACTGTGTCTCAGCGCTAGTCACTTGTAATCCCCCAGGAATGACAGGCAGCCGAGCCTCATGTGAAAACATGCAGGAAAAGGCAGAGCCAACTGAACTGGGCCACACCCACAGCAGGGCCCAACCACTGGATTCCTGGTGGCTGGAGCTGGGGATCCCTCTGAGGCAGAACAGGGTGTGTGTCCCCACATAACTGACAGAGGTGCCTTCACTTTCCCAGGAGACGTGTGAAGGAGGGAATGGATGAGGGGTGGGCAGACCATCCCTGTCTGTCTGTTTGAGCCTTTTATTCTGACCTCGAAGCTTGTTTATTCTCATGTTTGTGCTTAGAAAAGTTAAGTAAGTTGGCCAAAATTACTCAATATAAAGTAAGGACGTGGGGATTGAACCTGGGTCTTTTAGGCTCCAAGAGGGATGTGTATTTTTTTTCTCCTGCACTTACCCCCATCCACGGTCTTTCTTTATTTGGAATATATAGCTCTATTCTTTTTTTAAAAAATGTTTATTTATTGTTGAAAGTATTACATATGTCCCATGGCTCTATTCTTTTCAGAGGAAGGCACCCCTTCTTCCAAGCCCTCAGCACCACACCCTTCATCCTGGCATTTCTGTTCCCTGGAAACGCACTCAAAGTCAATGGTCAGACATCCCCACAGAATCTGTCTGAGACCTGGGGAAAGGTGACAGGATAGGCCGCTGAACCTGAGGACAGAGGCTGGACTCTGTTGGGAACATTGCACATGAGCGACAATGACAGTGTCTGTGCTTATGTGTTCAGATGTCTAGGTATGCGTGAACATGTGTTTGAGTGTGATTGACAACATGCAATTACCT